TCTTTTTGGCAGGGAAATCCTGAAAAAATCTACAGCACTGTTCACCAGCTCATACCCCATAAATTGACCAATGAAAAATCATTTAGGTTATTAGAAAATCTCAAACAAATCCGAACAGCAGTCAGAAAGGCACATATTTCCGGAATTTTCCAGTAATAAACCTCACCAAACCCTCAATCAATGAGCTATTAATCAGAAAATACTGACAGTGACGTTTTTCAGCGGGAAACTCAGCCCCATATTCATTTTGCTGTTAGATTATAATAGATATGGGGCCCCAAAAAAAGGAGGTCCAAGGCAACTGCCTTTGCTAACTTCCCATTAGGGGTGGGCAAAAGACCCGGTCCCGTTGGTCCGTTCCGGAATGTTCCGGTTCCGTTCCGAAATTGTCCCGTTATATTTGGGACACATTATTTTTGTCCCGTACCGGTCCCGAACCGTTTTAAAACAAAACGGGACCGGGACAAGTAAAATATATCCCGTTCCGTCCCGTTGTCCCGAATTCATAATTGTATGTACTTTGTAGTAGGTTAGTTAGTTTATTAACAACTCATTATGTAATCCAAATTATAATAGTTATTCTTTTTTCACAACCCAAATAAAAATGATTATTAAATACTAGTTGATTAATAATATAACACCTAAAAAACTCTAAACTACCTACTATCACATACTATGAACTATCATCTATCTACAAAAAAAGAATTTGATTTTTACTCTCAAAATATTCTTTTGTCATTTTATTATAGATTTCTTGATAAATTTTTGTGATATAGTTTTTTCTGCTGCAACTTTCATGCAACCAATCTGGTAAGTTGCATTTTTTTCTCACAATTTTCTATATTAGCTATAGCTTTTTTGTCATAGAGTTTTCTTGCGCTAATTTTTATTTTTTAATTTTTCAAATAGCTTTATTTTGTTTTTGGATTGAAATTGTTTGACTCAATTTTTTGGGATGTCCCGAACCGTCCTGTTTTGTCCCGGTACCGGTTTAAACGGGACAACAAAAGGACAATGTCTTGTCCCGTCCCGTTCCGAACCGTTATTGTAAAACGGGTTCGGGACCGGGACAAGCCAATTCCCGTTCCGTCCCGGACCGTGCCCACCCCTACTTCCCATATGGCCGGCTTTGCGATTTTAAAAAAGACCTTCAATGGAAAGGTTGGCGAACTCAAGTACTCTTATGTCTTTCATACTCCCAAAGTCATCTCCACCAGCATCTCACATTTTTCGTAAATATACTTAATTGTGTTCGAGATTAAACCAAATTAAAATTTATTTTTACTTTTTAATTTTTAAAGAATTTTATTATGTAAATTTTGGGTGTTTTTTGTAAAAAGAAATTGATACGTGTATCCATCAGAATACATGTATCTAAAATTTTCAAAAAAATTACCAAAAAGATTGAAAACTTTTAATAAATTACATATACAACTCGAAAACATAAGATACGAGTACTCAGGGGCGGCCCTAGGGGGGTGCAACATGGGTGACCGCCCTAGGCCCAAGAAAATAGGGGGGGGGGTAGGCCCAAAAATATTTCCTTGTATATTGTGTGAGTAGGCTTCTTTTTAAATTTTTAAGCTAAATTAATTGGCTCAAGGTTTAATTTTTTTAAAATAAATGTAAAGTGGCACGCCTCTCTTAATTTTCTTCGGATCTCTAAGTTTTATAATTCACAAAATTACCAAGTTATGTTAGGCCTCCCAAGTCCAAAACTTCCTATTCGCAAAGCCCATCCAAATTGATTTCTTGTTTCGAAATTCCAATATTGTGGTAAGTGCATATGCACCACAAGTGGGATTGGATGCATCTATCACTCAACAATTTTGGGAAGATCTTGAGGAGGAGGAGCGACGAGTGCCAAGGGGTGAGAAGCTGGTCATAGGAGGCGACCTCAACGGGCATGTGGGCCCAAGTCGTGATGGTTTTGAGAGTATCCATGGCGGACATGGTTTTGGCACTAGAAATGAAGCGGGGAAGAACATTCTGGATTTTGCCTCACCATATGAGTTGGCTGTGATGAACACTTGGTTCAAGAAAAGAGACTCTCACCTTGTGACCTATAGAAGTGGAGCTAATAGTACCCAAATTGACTACTTTTTAGTACAAACGACTTGGAGAACTAGCTACACTGATTGTAAGGTTATCCCAGGTGAGAGTGTTGTCACTCAACATAGGATGCGTGTGCTTGATTTTCAAGGTAAAAAGAGAAGGAGGGTTAAGGTACAAGGGGAGCCAAAGATAAAGTGGTAGAGGCTCGAGGGGAATCTCCAACAAACTTTTGCACAGAAAATGTTGGAGGAAGATGTATGGTCCATTGATAATGACGCACATGTGGATGATGTGTGGTTATCAATGGAGTCCACCTTTAACAAAGTGGCGAAAGAGATACTTGGACAATCTAAAGGATATCTACTACCAAAAAAGGACACATATTGGTGGAATGATGAGGTAAAACAAACAATAAGGATCAAAAGGGAATGCTATAAGAAATTGGGCAAAAGTTGGAGCGACGAGAACATAGAGGAGTACAAGGAGGCTAGAAGAAGAGCAAAGAAAGTCGTAAAGGAAGCAAGAGGAAAAGTGAACAAAGAATTGTATGCAAAACTGGACTCTAAGGAAGGTGAAAAAGATATTTACAGACTTGCTAGTCTTCGTGACCGTAGGACTCAAGATATCGGAAAAGTTAAGTGTGTGAAGGATGTCGATCAAAGGGTACTAATGAAGGATGGGGAAATAAAAGAGAGGTGGAGGTCATACTTTGATACATTATTCAATGGGAACAAAGCGCAAGATATTGGTGATTTGACCATACCAGATTGTATGATAAATCATGATTTTGTGAGAAGGATCCAAACAACGGAAGTTAAAGAGGCTTTGAGGAAGATGAGGCGGAAGAAAGCAGTGGGTCCAGATGGCATACCGATCGAGGCTTGGAGAAGTATGGGAGAGAGAGGCATCGAGTGGTTAACAAGTTTCTTCAACATGATTTGGAGAAACAACAAGATGCCAACGAGTTGGAGGAAGAGTACTCTTATCCCCTTATTCAAGAATAAAGGTGATGTACAAGATTGTGCCAACTATCGAGGGATTAAGATTATGAGTCACACCATGAAAGTATGAAACTTTGGGAGCGAGTGATTGAGCAAAGACTTCGAAGAACTGTGAAGATTTCAGAGAATCAATTCAGTTTTATGCCTGGTCGCTCAACAACTGAGGCTATTCACCTTCTTCGGCAACTTATGGAGAAGTATAGAGACGTTCATAAGGATCTGCATTTGGTGTTCATTGACATAGAAAAGGCTTATGATAGGGTACCTCGAGAAGTTCTTTGGTGGGCTTTAACTAGAAAAGGCATATCACGCAAGTATATCAGCATCATCATGGATATGTATGAGGATTGTACTACAAGTGTCCGTACTAGTGTAGGGAGGACTGCGGAGTTCCCTATTACTATCGGAGTGCACCAAGGATCGGCTTTGAGCCCTTTCTTATTTTCCATAGTCATGGATGAAATTACGAAGTCAATTCAAGACGAAATACCGTGGTGCATGTTGTTTGCCGACGATATTGTATTGATTGATGAGACGCAATCAGGTCTTAAAGCAAAGTTGGAAGTATGGCGAGAAACATTGGAGAACAAGGGTTTCAGACTAAGTTGGAGCAAGACAGAGTACATGGAGTGCAAGTTTGGTGGAGGTAAAAGCAGTAGTAATAGCGGAATTACTCTAGCTGGTAAAGAGATACCGGTCAGCGATATGTTCCGTTACTTGGGCTCCATAATTCAGAAGAATGGTGAGTTAGATGGAGATGTATCCCATAGAATCAAAACAGAGAGGATGAAGTGGAAGAGTGCGTCAGATTTCTATACGATAGAGGTATGCCGACTAGACTGAAGGGTAATTAGGCATGCATTACTATATGGCGTAGAGTTTTGGGCGGTGAAAAATTGTCACATTCAAAAGATGAGTGTGGCGGAGATGCGCAGTTGCGTTGGATGTGTGGGCATACTAGGAAGGACCACGTGAGGAATGAGACAATCAGACAAAGGATGGGAGTAGCACCTATTGAAGACAAGATGCGGGAGTCGCGTCTACAGTGGTTTGGTCATGTGCATAGAAGACCGAGTGATACACTTGTTAGACGAGTTGAGATGTGTGGATAAGAGGCAAGGAAGAGAGGGAGATGAAGGCCCAAACAGATGTGGGTTAGGGGAGTCCGAAGTGATATGCTTCTTCTTGGGTTAGATGAGGGTATGGCTTTGGAGAGAGCACAGTGGAGGGCGGGGATTCGTGTGGAGGAATGATCTCGTATTATCTTTTCCCCTTATTTTTTTATTGTTTTTTTTAATCCTTTTATCCGTATATATATAAACATTATTTTTAGGGAAAACTGTCAAATAGGTCCTCGAACTCTCATAAAAAAAAAGTCAATTAAGTCCTTATTTAGGAGGCTCTGTCCGGCCTTCGCGATTTGGGACGGTTCCCGGTGAAATTTTTTGATGAAATTTTTTTAGCATCTTATTCATCAAGTCTAGTTTAGTCATACCAAATTTCAGCTAAAACTTCAATCGGGAACGCATTCAAATTAATTCTGGAAGATAACTGTGCAATTAAGTAATTTTGTGAGAAACATTTTTTTAGTAATGTTATTCTTTTTATGTGATACTTGTGTTGTTACTTTTCACCAAATATGTAATTTAAATAATAATAATGATAAAATGAGTTTCATTTTTATGTAATGGCCTTTATTATAATTATTATTCTAAATAATTATAGTTTAATATTTGTCTTGAAAATAAGTTTAAAATAATATTTGGCATAGGCCCGGAATAGGCGGGACCGGCGGTGCTACGTAATTTCTAGATAAAGAGATGAGAGAGACAGCATCATCAACGCCACAAACACGTAGGTCACACAAGATAGAGCTGGACAGTTGGCAATACTCTATTGGCGGAAGTATTACTTATTGTAGTGAATAAGATAAGATAAGAAAATGGATTGCATTTGAATGAAAACCACGTACGATCGCTCACTCAAGTAAAAGCATCAATGGCCGCTTCCATGGTAACGTCTCCCGCATACTTCGGAGCCGCGGCGGCACCCTCCACCCTCCGCCGTGGGGTTGTTACCGTCAAGGCGTCGTGCGGCGGCGACAAGGCCACCGCGCAAGAGAGCAGCGGGAGAAGGGAGCTGGTTTTCGGGGCGGCTGCCATGGCGGCGGCGGCATGGTCAGTGACTAAGGTTGCGGAGGCGGAGGAGCCGAAGCCGGGCACGCCGGAAGCCAAGAAGAAGTACGCTCCCATTTGTGTCACAATGCCCACTGCCAGGATTTGCCGCAAGTGAGAAATGCATTCATTGTATTGTTGCTTCCTTAATTATCTTTAATAAAAATGATTTCTCCAGGCCAGGATTACATGTATGTAGTCAAACCTTGTCTTTAATAAAACTGTCTTTATTATTTTTGGTCCAAATAGCTAGGATCGGGTCAACCGGATCGTGTGAGTTGGGCTGTTTTTGTGCAGCACATGGATGATGATACACCCCATGTGAGATATCTTTGGTGTTAAAAAAGTTCTTAATAATTACTGACTCATGTTAGCAGAAAGAAAGGATTATTTTCCAGTACAATCTGTTGTTATAACACCACCCAGCCACAATGAAGACAACACAAAACGATTTGGGCCTCCTTAAAAGTTAAAACTAGTCGTGAATCCACCACTTCAAATTTTTACTGTGTGAGATAGGATCGGATTCATGATTTTGGTCCCAATTCAAGACCGGGTACCCAACGTGCCCGGTCCCAAGCATGTATTTTGGGGACCGGTCTAGATGGTCCCGGTCCCGGATTTGATCTCAAAGGTACTTCATTTTTTCTCTAAAATCAAAGGGGTGGGATGGGAGTGGGGGTGGGGGACTTAAAAATATATACATCTAACATTATTCTCACTCCTACACTTGTATAATAATTATACTAGTATATATTATTTAGATTTAATAAATAATGCTACATTCGTCCCATTGATACTAAGACAAAAGAAGGTGACGCCGTTATTAAGAAAAATGGATTTGTGGTTGATATTAATTGATAAGGTAAGAACAAAGTAAGAATGATTTAGAGCCACACAAATTTTACCGCCATTTAATGAAACAAACGACAACTAGTCATGGACTCGGGTTGGTCCGGTCTGGTTCCAGACCCAAAACCAGCCGGTCCCAGTTCTGAAGTAAAGAAGCCCAGTATCGCCCCAATTTGGTCCGAGTGGGTGGGTCACTTGTCAGTCTCGGGTAAGGTCACGGGTACCCCACCGTCTATTTAAAAAAAATGACCGCTAGGACCGAGACCAATCATTCTAGTCCCAAAAATTGAGGCCCGAGCCGGCGAGCCCATCCCGTTATTTAGGCAGTCCGATTACCGAGCCAGTACTGGTATAGAGAAACTGGTCCCGAACCAGTCTAAACAATAATGATAACTAACACTGGCGGGAGTTCTGATGATTAGGAAATGTAGTTAAATTATTCTCAATTGCTACTCTAAGTCAATTTAGAGTTTCGAATAAATTCACATTTCATTTTTAATGTGTAGCATTTGTTATTGATATTACTAAATTAAAAAAAACGGCCAAACAATCCAGGATCACACTTAGGACAGGCCGGCCACCCGAGACCAGACCGGGACCCATAAAATCCAGGTCGGTTTTTGGCTGCACGATTCACAGACCGGGAACCTATGTTTGAAGAACTGAACTAGACCGGCTGTTTCGACCCAAAAACCGGCCACCCAACTAGAAATCCGTTCCGATTCACTCTCAACCGGTAAAGTGAGCCTAAACCGGAATTACCCGCTGACTGGGGTAAGCCCGGAACGGACCCAGCCAGATGCGAACCCAACAATGTTGCGAAAACCTGAAGTTGGCGACAAAAGACACCAACAAGAATGGAATCCTGGACCTGCTGCTTGGAATACCAATTCCCACTCCATATACCACACTACCGCTCTACCACATGTTACAATTTATATGTTTTTTGTTTTTATACTACTAGCACTCCAATTGAGACCTGATTAGTTATTTAATTACTTCTATATAAACATAAAAAATACTCACTATTAAATATACTTCCTAATTAGGTACTCCCTCCGTCCCCCTAACTTTGTCCCGTTTTACCTTTTTTGTCCGTCCCATTATGTTTGTCTCATACCATATTTGGTAATGTTTGAGTGGTTACAATTCATTCTTACTTTATTCACACTTTATCAATTCAATATCAACCACACAATTCTACTTTTTCCCAAACATAGTGGGACGGAGGTAGTATATCATACGTAGTATTCAAAATTAAATATAAGTGAATTATATATACATATAAGATTTTGTAATTGGTTTAATGGTTATTGCCATCTAATTCCATATGTTGTTTTTTGTAATTTTATATTTTTACTTAGCTTATATTGTACGTATTATCATTATAAAATTATGCAAGGAATTCAATCTTATATATTAATATACTCCCTCCATCCCATAAAACTTGGTCATCCCAAAAAGCTTTTCCATTTCCATTCAAAGTAAGTAAGGAATATATGGCTAAAATTTGGTGTTGACCGGGTTTACTGGTCATTGACTGAGTTGACCCGCGGGGTACGGGTTGACCCTTTACCCGGTCATTTGTCCGGGTCACTCTCTGGTCCGGTTTTTACAACATAGCCGAGAACGGGCGATGCGGGATTGGGAGCGGGACCAGGTCCACCCCTATCCACAAGCATCTGTAAACATGAGTGCAAAAACAACTACTATTTCAGATTTTAGAACCAAATAAAATATGTGAACATAGCCTCGTTAATCATCGTGGTTGCAAAAAAGAACAAGTTCAGATGCAAATGAACTGCAGATTGAAAACAACCGGGAGAACTGAAAAGTGGATATCATGCATTAACAGGTGACAGCATAGTCTGGTGAGACTATTTTATGTGTGGCTCAATCATTTGGCTTCCTCAAAAGGAGAAAGGGAAAAAACTTTACTCGCCAGGGGGGCATTCTCATCACCGCTCCTATGTCAGAACATATATTCATATCATATCTAAGATGAAAACTCAGGCCGCAGTGATGTCTACCGATTTGTTAATCAGGTCATTCAGTTTTTCAAATCCCTGAGAAATAAAAGTTGCATTAATACATTGTGCAAAAATGCACACTCCCACATTTACATATATGGGAGCTTGTAACTCAACAACGGTATATTATGTGCGCCTACACCCACCCAAATACATGGATGAAGGTTGAATAAACAACACGTTTGAGGTTCACAAGGATAATACACACAAGGACTCATTCGACTCTTTTCTTCCAAACAAGTCTCCCATTATACTTAATTTTTTCTTCCAACCTTGGCAAGAAAAAGTTAGGGGCAAATTTTAATGATCTGATATTGTGGAGGAAATGATGACCCAAAGTTAGGCTCATCATCATTACCCCAGTGCCGCAAAGGCTCCCACCTATGATGGGGTAAGGGGGGTCGGATGTACGCAGTCAAAGCACAAAGAGACTGTTTCCGGATGACCCATAGTGAAAATCGCGTCGAAAATTACATTGACTGACTGCTTCACAACAAAGAAGCGCAGACAATTTAGTGAGCCATTTTGCTTTATTCCATCATATTCCCAAGCCAAACAATAGTGAATCTTTGGCTCCATTGCAATCGTTGACTAGCTGGCATTGTCTACAAATGTGCTTCGTGAAGTTTATTAAAAGGGAAAGGGTCAAATATACCCTTCTACATTTGTGAATCGGTCATCTAAAATCATGTACTAAAAAAAGCATCGCATAAACCTATTCACTCTTAAAATGATCAAATCACCTAAAGTTGACCATCTTCAGCTGGTCACTCATTATTTATGATATCTATATTTTTGTTTTTCTTTTCTTATTTACTTTTATTTCTCCTTTTTATTTCTCCATCTTCCTAGTATGTTTGTCCTGCGCCTTAAGACCTTAGCTATGTCCCTGTTCCCCTTTGTCTTCAAAACGCTTCATCGTTCACATTCTTTTCTTACTCTTCTTTCATTCTTTTTCTCTTTACTTTTTATTTCTCCCTTTTTTTAAATCTATATGAATCAACTTAAATGGTAGCAGACTTGTGTACATCAAGCTCTGGCCACCATTTCTCACCGCCAATGGACACCAACTCCCTTAATCAATGGATAGATCTTGAAGACGGAAGCTGGACGAACGGACCAGAAAGAAAGAGAGAAGTCTTCGTCTCAAATTGAAGACCTAGAGCAGTCTAACGATGCCGTTCTTGGAGAGTTGGAATCATGCCAATGAAAGCGAGTCTTTTCTTCTTGCTGCGCTGCGCAGCGCCTGGTTGCTGGAGAAGGGAGGAGCGAAGTTCTCCACTAACATTGGAATTGCTGATATAGGTCCTGGTCCTTGGGAAATACTCCCAGTCGGTGATGAAGACAGGGGAGTCCCTTCTCGCTGCCAATCTCACCGATCTTGAAGAGGGAAGAAGACCACTGACCAGAATGAGAGAAAGAGTAAACAAAGAAAAAGAGGAAAAAGTTACTCCGTATAAATTAGCAACTGACCGGCTATAGAAGGTTCTCTTCCGGCAAATTGACTGATTTGATCAATCTTTTAGAGTAAATGGATTTATGTGAAGCTTTTTTTTAGTACATGGGATTAGATGACTGATGCACAATTATTAATAAAGTGGTTGAAAAAGTAAAAGTTATGGTTAAGATTTCAGATAATAATGTGAAATGTTGTAGACAGTAGACCACATATTCTTTTCCAAAAAAGGAAATACAACACTTATTTTAGGACAACCCAAAAAGAAAAGTAAGACAAGTAAAATAGAACGGATGGAGTAAAATTAATATCAACTATCACCTATAAGCAAATAATAATACGTACATTGAAAAATATTTTTAACAATACAAACTATTTGAACACATAACTAAAATGATATAGTGCCACTTTCCGACTACAAATCCAGTCACTTGACACTTAAAAAGCGTGTGTCAAACAATCAAATAAAGGTTTTTTCGAAATGAGGTCACTTATTCAATATTTTAATATCATTTTCTGATTAGTTAAATGATTGGGTTTCTCATGGAAAACTTAGTGTATCACTTTTTTATATATTCAAATAGTTGATATTATTAAAAATTATTTTTAAAGTATGTAATACTATTGATTTATGAGTGATAATTAGTATTCTTTAGTTATTTTACCGTTTTTAAATTTATTACCAACTAACTCAGTTATTAGCTTAATGTAGACAATTAAGTTAGGGCTTGGTAGAGAGCCTGCACCATAAGGATGATAGCAAAAAGAAGTGGGGATTACCGAAATCTTAGTTACAAAATGCTTCCAGCATAAGTGGATGACAACCAGCCAGTAAGGCAGTTTTTGTGAGTTAAGAGTAGGTGAAGTTCCATGGTATGCATATTGCATTTACAGCAATGTAACTAGGCATGACCATAAAAATAATCTCAACCCAAGCCTGTTTCATATTATTTTCCATTATGTGGGAAAAACTCGTAATGACTGACAGTCCATAATTAAACCGTTTGCATACCCAAAGAACTAAAGACTTTGTTTTTGCATGAATTATAGGTTCTGAAAATTTTA